CTCTCCACTACATGTTTAGCAAACGCAGACTCTCTCATTTTCTTCTTTTTCGCACACATAGGGTTATTGCAACGACCATAAAATATATGTATTACATCAAGTTTATCAAGCTCTTTCCAAGTTTATGCATAGTGTCGAAACTTTGTTCTAGCTCTACCATCTAAATGTACAGTTAAATAATTAACGGGCACGACGTAAGATGGCGTTTTTTCTGGTCAAAAAAGTTGCAATATCCCTTTGTTCCAAAGTGTGAATAAATGGGGCAACATTGTTGACAGCGCCACGCCAAAGCGTTTGCCCGGCCAACTACAGTCAGTCTTAACGCAAAGTGGCACAAGCATGTCCCATTTTCTGCATACAATCGTTGCGTTCATACGCGTGTGTATGCGAAAAATGGTCCAAGCTTGTGCCACTTTGCGTTGCGATTGACGTATGCTTCTGATTGAAAAATAACCAGATTAAAGTTAACTAAAACCAAATGAAAAGTAGGTTCAAAAAAAATTAGAGAACATATTTCTTGAAAGAGTACCTTTTCTACTTATATTTGGCAAAATTTAAAAAAAAAATCATAGAGTTGGTTTCGCTGCAATAAGACTTTGAAATGGATTGTTCACAATTAATTTCTACTTTCATTCTGACTAAACAACAAAGTCTTGTTGCAGCAAAACAAAGACTATGATTTCTCTAAAACTTGGTTGAATATAAGTAGAAATTATACTTTATTAAAAAATATCTCTCTCAAATTATTTGGAATAAATTTTCATTTGGTTTTAGTTCATTTTAATTGGGTTTTTATTCGAACACAAGCATACGTCAATGCGTTGCAGTAGTAACCAAGTGACAACCAACGTGAAGTTGGCTGCGTTGCCCGGTATGCATTATGTTCACCCTTTGCTTTGTTCGCACAGTTACAATGACATTTTTCACACTGAACTACGTAGAATCGATATAATATCAAATTAAATTGTGCAAACACCTTATTGATTCTACACGGAATTATCAAAATAAACGCTACTTCATTTTAACAACCAACCTTGAATGCATTTCAACTCGACTTACGAGCCATTATCAGCATTACGACTGAAACGAAAATCGCATTGTCAGCCAAACCACCTCGCCGCAATCGTCACAACATTGAACGACGCAAACACACACAAATGCACACACATATTTATCGGTCAAACGAATGCGAACAACACTCAATCGATGTTGCCGTTATCTAAATTCACTGTGAGTCGTCTCTCGTCACTCACACTTTGTATCAACTCAACGTTGTCAATAGTCACATTTAAATGGTGATTGAACACCGCATGATTGGCAAACGCCGACTGTCTTACATATTTGTGCTCTATGCATCTCAGATGTTATTTGAAACGTTTTTTGACTGAGCGCTTCGTTTGACCAATGTAAACAGCTCCACATTCGCTACATGTAATATGCCAGATTTTTCTAAATTGTTTTTTCTGTCTTTTGTACTCCCAAGCAAATTACCTAATTTATTATTGTTCCTGTAAACTTACGTCATATCGAATTCATTGAATACGTTTTTTAATTTGTTTGTGATTTGTGGGACATACGACACAGACACTCTCTTTTTCTCCGGTTTTTCTTCAGATGGTGATAAAGTCGTTGCATTCATTTTTTTCGCTTTGTTAGCATGTTTCTTGATTATTTTATCAACCATTGAAATTGATAAACCGTTTTGAGGGGCAACCGATTTCATGTAATCGTACTCTTCTTTGTAATGTTCGATCGAAAGAGGAAGCGTACACAAACGATGAGATTGAATGAAAAGAGGCTGTTTTGTATTGAAACGGGCAATGCGAATCGCTCGTTATAACACGCGTCGTACTGGTTGGCTTGTGATAAACTGAAAATTCTGGCGAGTGATCTGTTTTTCTGTGCACTTGAATATCCAAAAATGGCAGTTTATTGTCAATTTCAGTTTCACAAGTGAATTTAATTGTCGGGAATTGAGAATTACAGTTATTCAAAATTTCGTCCAATTTTTCGCGTTCGAACACTGCAAAAATATCATCAACATATCGATGCCACACTCTTGGCAAAAGGCCCTTTTCTTCTAACTGATTTTCCAACGCAGCTATGAAACATTCACTAATCAAAGGGGACAATCGATTATCCATATTTGTTCCTTTTTCAACATGATAGAATTTTTCCCGAAATTGAAAGAGATTATGTTTCATGCATAATTTAGCAACATCACTGTATATTTGCACTTTGTCATCGGAAATATCCAAATTGTTCAAATATTTATCGAATGCAGTCAAAGCAAGGTCCACATCGATGCTCGGAAACAAATTAGTCACATCAAATGAACCGATTTTTTCGTTCACACCAACTGTCACTATTTCAACTTTCTTAACGAAATCAAATCTGTTCTTCACTGAGCGACTTTTGATTGATGGTAGCGTTCTTATTTCATTGCCGAGCTATTTTGCCAACTTATACGTTGGTGTATTGATGCTTGAGACAATCGGCCTCATTTTTCTCCCATCTTTGTGTATTTTTGGCAAGCAATACAACAATGCAACAGACGGATTCGCGGCATTTAATTTTTGAATGAGTCGTCGACCAAAAACCGGGCCAATTCGTTGTCTTAGTTTGTCGCTGTCTCTAATCATTTTGGGCAAAGGACTTTTCGAAAGACTTTATATTCACACTCCGAGATCACACTATGCACACGATTTTCATAATCCATTTTATCTAAAACAACTAATTTATTGCCTTTATCGGCTTTTACGTACACACAATCTTTCTTCTTTAATGAAGCAACTGTTTCAAATTGTTCATTTTTCAAAAAGTTTTTCTTTTCCATGTCACTCATCACGTTTTCTATCACCTCACACGCTTTTGTTCTAATCGCGCTTTGTGTACTGGGCAAACGGTATTTTAAAATGGTTTCAATATCGACAATTGATTCAGTGAAATCTGTTTGGTTTGGTTTTGGTGTGAACTTTAAACCACGATTCAACAGATTAAGTTCGTTAACTGTGAAATCTTCATTCGACAAATTCACTACAAAATCCGGAATAAATTTAGTGAATTCAAATTCACTTGTGAAACTGAAATTGACAATAAACTGCCTTTTTTGGATATTTATTTATTTATTATATTATTTTATTTCAGAGCGTGAAACCACTTCCACCTTCGCTTACACCTAATGAAGCTAAATTTATAGCCGATATAGCGGTACCGGGAAGTAAGTGTGCAATCGAAATTTGAATTAAACCAATTTATTATCTGGTTTTATCGTCACGTTTAATCTTCATTTTTTTTTTCTCTTTCGACGGCAAAAGAGGTGATTTTTCATGATTCATAAATAATGTGACCAGACCATTTTGGTGAATAAATAGGAGTTCGGAGTCAAAAATATAGGAGAATATAGGACATCCTATATTTTTTCGGTCGAAATATAGGACTAGTTAAAAATTACAAAAAAAACACCAAATTCGATTAAAACAAGAACATCTTGTGTGCTACTGATAGATAAAGTGTATGCAGTGTTTATTCATAGTTCAGAGATCAAATATTTGCTTATGAAAATTTGAATGATATCGATTTGGTCGCATTTTTCAATTATTCAAACGTGATATTTCGGATCAGCTTGAACCTGAAAAAAAAAAAGAAAGAAAACATTATTATTGAATAAGCTTGGATTTATTCAATGCATGTTACCTCCCGCAAAATATCTTCGCGGGTACGAATTCATTCAGCGAATTGTTCACAGGTCATGGTCATGTTGAATTTTGCTTGCAGCCAGCTCTTCAGTGTGTCGATTGTGAGTCGAGATTTCTTGTCGGTCCAGTAGTTGGTTACTAATGAAAAAAGCCGTTCACACACCAAGTTTGCACCTATCACAATTTAAGAAAAAAAATAAGTAAATCAAAATTTCACTTTTTACATATCAATAAGTAACTCAGCACCTGGAATAGTGAACGCATATTCAATCAGAATGGCAAATTTGTTGAATGGAAGATCTTTTGTTCGCAAGAACGCGAAAACATCAAGCCAACGCTGTTGAGCGGATACATTTTCTTCTTTCCATTTTGAAATTGAAAATTCAATAAATGGTTTCAAGTGAGCATATTCTGCATGGATTTCCTTTTCCTTTGACGCATCGATAAATTTCTTCGCGATGAGATCGTCCACGCATTCTTCAACTTCGTCCCACTTTGGCATCAACTTCATAGCGACCCATCCCCATTTCTCAATTGGAGAAAGCCATTCCAACCACTTGGTCAAATATGCAAGAGTATTTTCTGTAAAGAAATAAAACAGTACTTGAGTAACTTAACTTAATTTCATTTTAAAGTAAATGCAAACTTGCCATGAAACTTTTCAACTAGCTGGTCAATGTATTTTTGATCGATGACGGTTTCGACTACACCACCTTTCTTGCCCTTTGAAGTCAGAGTAAATGGTAAACTGTTCTTGATTTTTCGGTTTTCGTCTCGAAATTCGTATGTACGATATTTATCATCAGCTTGAACTTGGATGGAATTTTTCAGTTGACTCATAATTTCAAATGCTTCGAAACCTGTGACGTTATCACCTTCCAATTGTAATATTTTTTCCTCAAACAGTGCACTTTGATCGTGAATGAAAATCAACAGCAATTTCGCAATTGGACAGTTGAAAAATGTTATCAATTTTTCCGGTACTTTCTTTTCTTCTGGGTCAAGAAAGAAGGCCTTCAATGCGTCGAAGAATTGTATGATTCGTTGAATGCAACCTTTGAATGCAAGGAAACGAGTTTTACCGTAGCCAAGCAGTTGCATGTATTCCGTATCCGATGAATCAAAGATTTCTTTCAAACGAGTCACACGCACAGTGTTGCGATAAAAATATTTGTAGATCTTCACTACCATTGCTTCGATATTAAAAATACTTATTTCGTCACATGCATTTTGAATAGTATTGTGCACAAGATGTGCATTGCATCCAACACCGATGAGTCTGTTTCCATATTGTGCTTGAAGCTGACTAAAAATATTCACATTTCCACCTCGTGTCAGACCACCAAAATTGACCTTCGCGTTATCCGCTGAAAAAGATGACAACTTTTCCTCCAAACGGTATTCTTTGCAGACAGAATCGATAAGACCAATAATTGTATTCGCTTTTTCGTCATTCAACTCTGCAAACTCCAACATTTTGTTTTGAACACCAAGTGTGAGTGAGAAGTACCGTGCAACAATGGGAAACATTTTAATGTTTCCGTGGTTCGATGCGTCACCCGCCAATGCGACAAATCTGGCTTTTTGTAGGTCTTTAAATACCATATCCTTTGACAATGGGGCAAGAACACCTTGAAACAACACATTTGACAATTAAGTAAAATCATTCATTTTATGATATTGAAATAAACAAACCTTTCAAAATTGCTTCAGCTTTTGTTCTGGAACACGTAAACTTTGGATTGTTACCATACACATTTTTAATGAGAAATGAATTGCAATCAGCCGATCGGAAACTATGGTTTTCATCAACCATGTGATAAACGCTCGTGATTTCCATACGAGCGACGTTTTTTTCATCGGGTGGCTCTAAAAACCAAATCTTATTAATATAAACCATTTATGGCAAAGAAACATGAAACATACTTTTGAAATGATCAACAATTGAAACCGTTTTTGCGGCAGCAGATTCTCTTTCTTTGTGTAGTTTTGTTTCTTTGTGTTGGCTCAATGCATTTTCACCTCTGTTTGCAACTGAAAAATGACTTGGGCACAATGTACAATGTACCATATGCTTGTCATTCTTATCTGGCCTCAACCAAGTGTATCTATCCAGCCATTCTGGATTGAATGATGTTGAGTAGTTTGGCATGTTTTATAGCTTTAAAAACACTTTATTATGTCTTTTGAAAAGACAAAATTCACTAAACTTAAAATTGCACGTTGTATCACCGATGAGCTCTGACTGACGAATGAACACGATGAGACGTGACTGTCGAACGAACATCGTCACATGCTGTGGTTCTCGTTTTGGATAATGTTTATGCATCAATTTATTGATTATAAACAATGGACGCGGCGTACCGATTACGCGGACAGTGTTTGTTGTTTGGATTTTTTTCATTTCTGTTTCTATATAATATGATTCTTAGAATTATTCGTATCGCACTGTATCGAAAAATAGCCCGTTATTCGTGAATATGCTGTATTTGCATTTTGCAAACGCTCTTTAGCTGTTTTTCGACTAAGGCTTCGTTTGCAGTCAACACACACATATATATTTATACACAGCATATTTTTGAACAACGATTTGATAATTAATAATTCTGTTACTCACACAGTCTTCTGAGACTCTACGAAAATCATCATGCGACATATTTTTTTTCAGCGGCTGCGTTTTGTTTATTAAACAAACAATACACAAATATTATTTTGAATGCTGATTAAAGTTCATCAGAAAACGAAACACAGCTGTTCGATGTCTCAATTTAGCGTATATTTTTGATTTTAAATGATTTTTTTTTGTTCCATTTGAAATTGAAAGAAATATAGGAGAATATGGGGAATTTTGTCAAATGATATAGGATATAGGACTAGGCATAAATATATAGGAGTCTCCTACCCAATATAGGAGGTCTGGTCACATTATCATAAACCAATACTCATCCTGAGATATTTTTCTATTACAGAATTTCTTACCGTTACCAAGGAAGCATATGCCAATGCCGACGAAGATGATCAAATACAATTTAATGCAATCATTTTGTCGGAAACCGAGATTTTGACCTGTGCACATAATGTGCACGGCGCCCCATATGTCTATGCAATAGTAAATAAACTATCAAGCAATCCGACAAAAATCAAAGTCACCGAAAACCAAATAGAAATTCATAAGAAATACGCACTTCCTGGATTGACATTTGACATTGCCAAGATTACACTTAAAGAACCGTTGGAGCTCAACGGCAACGTTGGCAGCATCGATTTGGTGGACAAAGATTACAAAATGAATGACCCATCCGAAATGGTCACTGTCTATGGTGATATGATATTGGATGAAACGGTGAGAACGAGACGTTGTGATATAAAGTATTTAGACGGCGTCAAATGCAAACTACAATGGAATACTTTGTATACTGATACATGTATTTGGTTGGAACTCGGTTGACCAAAGCGCCCTCTAAAGAATCTATGGCGAGTTCGTGGTGACCGTATGTTTTACTTCAGTACGACGTTTGACAGAAACGGGAGTTCAATTGATTGTATTGTCATTAGCCTTAGATTATCTAGGTGTCAATATCAGTTGTCAAATTCAAAACGAATAGGAGAGTTGAATGCAAATCGAAATTGGGCGACCGATTTGATGCAAATCATTTGATGTGTTACACTTTAGATGAAATCATGGGAACTCCCTCTACGTTTGGTGGACCAATGATTTCGAAAAAGAATAACAAAGTCGTGGGCATGACCATAATTGGTTCACCTGATCAGCCAGCTATTTTTCAACCAATTACACCGTTGCTTGATTGGATCTGGAAGCCAAGGGTAAGGCGTAATATATCCGTCAATTTCTTCACTGATTTCGATAATAACAAAAAATCATTTCTGTTCTACGTTAGAACGTCACCTTTGAACTTAAAGCGCTTGCTCCTGAAGAAGCTAAATTTTTGGCCGATGTACAAGTCCCTGGAAGTAAGTCTGCATTTAAATATGTTTCAGTATCTCTCCACTTTCCATATGCGCTATTACTGCTTGTAGTTGCGGCCATAGATCATTGTGGCCAATGGCGATTTATTTGTGTTTTTATTACAGAGCTAGCTACCGTGTTCAAAGCTACCAAGCAGACAGACTTAGTCACTTGTAACGCATTCATTTTATCGCCAACGGAAATTGTGACCAATGCACATTGTGTGCACGGTGCTCCATACGCCTTTGTAAAAGTTAATAAACTAGTAAAAGATGCAAAAACAATTGAAGTTACTCGCGACCAGATATCAATTCACAAGGATTATCAAGTTGGTAAACACGAATTTGACATTGCCAAGATCAGACTTAAAGAGCCGTTGCAATTCAACGACAACGTCGGCAGCATAGATGTAGCGGACAAAGATTACAAATTGAATGATCCGTCCGAAGTAGTCAGTGTCTATGGTGATATGCTGGTGGATGGATCCATACAAACAAGACGATATGATACGAACTATTTAGATGATCGCAGTTGTAAGCCGAAGAACAGCCAATTATTTTTTGATAATCATTTATTTGGCACAAATAATTTGTGCTACATCTCTGGTGCAAATCCAGAACCTCTCACAATTTCTGGCGGCGTGGAACTATAGAACATAGATTCTGACATAGTCTGATCTCGTTGATCCTGACTCCTGCTGGCGAAATTTGACCCCCAACGAATTTTTTTGGACCCATACTCATTTTCCGACTTTGTTTTCAAAAGTGAGGACTTTTTTTTGTTTGGGTCTTCACTTTTTTTCGATACCATTTTACACTAGATAGAATTGATTTTTTTGACCCCATCATGAATTTTTGGTCTGACCCTATCTGAAATATTTGGTGTCAGAATCTATGCCTGGAACATCAGTTGTTTTTCTTCCGATCACTCAGTTGCGAGAATGGAACCGCCTAAGAAATTTTTTTATCGGGGTTAAAATCATCCAAAATAATGTCGAAATCGTCTACAAGTCCGATCTTACTTTTTTGCGTGAATTCCGTCTCTTTTTTTGCCCCTGTCATTTGATGTTCAACAAAAGAACCGAATAAATTTGAAAATTTGAGAAAAATGCATTTTAGTTTTCAATCGCCCATGCGCAGTTATATGATTATCTGAAGTAATTGCGATATATATTACGGCTTGCAATGCACGTAAAAATTGCACGTAAGTGTGAGCGAGATAGCATGAGTTTTGGGTATCCCAGTGAATTGGGTACTACGAAACTGGTGAAATGATGGCTCGGTTTTATTCATAGCGTTTTGGAGGCGATGGACACATTATTTTTGCCGAATTCTGCTCGGAAATGCGAGTTCTGGCCGTGTCTAGATTTTACCATATAAATCAATGTATAATTGCAGCCACGCTCTGACCTCAGAGATTTTCATACAAACCTGCCTTGTAGACGGTCGTAACACAGGCAAAAATCGAAAAAAAAGTTCTGAAAAAAATGTTTTCATGTTCTAATAGAGTAATTTGTGTGCACTGTTGGTATTATCGGCACATTGAAATCCGCGCTCCCTACCACTTAATTTTCACTCCGAAATCAAGACACAACCAAAACCACCATTAAGATTAGTCATCATTCCAATGGACTTGGAAGTGTATCGTACATTTTTGCTTCAATTAAAGTGAAACACGATTTCTATAGTCCACAGATATTTTACGATTCACTTTCAAGTGAAGAGAATTTATATTACACTTTTAAAAATCAAGAATATTGGATAAGCGTATCCATAAGTGGTTCAACTTCGGTCATTTTTATTCCCGACCACTCATATAAACATTATAACGCTACATAACGCATTGAACAAGAAAGTACCCTTAAAATAAATCCCCGTCACTCTGAAATGAATTCATAACTTGAATATCAACGTACATACATAATATATACTGTGCACTCCAGCATCACATGCACCAAATTCCTTTGGTGTACACGCGCAGCGTTTTTTCATTCCATCTGTATAAATACAAAAGTGATGTGTTGAGCTAAATCCATCTTCGAAAATGGTTATTCGTTTATTGTGCGACGTTTCGCTCTTTTTAGGAACTTCATCAGGCTGGAGAACAAAATAATTTAAAATGTTTTCGAACGTATTCCATTTTTTGCTATCAATTTACACAAGTTGTATCAGCTACACGTGGCCATCAAAGGTATTTGGTTATTGAGCTTCATTTGGTGTCTGAATATGATTACACGATGCAACAACAAGAAACAACTACAGAGAAGGGAACTTATTTACAAAGATTTTTGGGCCCACTTAATCCAAATCTGGCGTTAGTTTGTCCTGGCACGTCTAGTTTTCAAGATACGTTCATTGCGGTTTCCGTTTTAGATTTGGATTAAGTGGGCCAAAAAAACCTTGGAAATGAGTCTCCTCTTTTTGAGGGAAATTTTTCTTTGAAATTTGTTGCATAGTGTTAGTAGACCTCAATTCGTAAATTCCATAACTGAAAAATACTACAATTCATCAATTATACGTTGCAGTGCACGTGTCAGCTATTGGTAGATGAATGGTATAAAAGAGGCGCCACCGCATAGGGAAGACCAAACGAATTCAAAGTATCTCTTCTCAAATTATCATTGTGCAACAGGTTAAAACTCTGTTTCGTTGGCAAATTAAAATGAATCTACTGCACGGTTTGTTTTTGGTGCTATTTATCGTTGAATTTTCTGTAAGTTTTTTCTATTCCTTTATCATTTTCATTTTTATCCAACAAAATGCGATGTTCCTGTAGAATTGAAAGTGAACACGAAATTTCTTTTTCTAGGAACTTCAAGGAAAACGTAAGACAAATTTTGTTTTCGTACACGCTTTTTATGATTACAAGAGATTTTTCATTTTAAAATTTCAGTTCTTTTCTCTAATGAACAGATGGCTTTTTCTCGCAAGCTCTTCTCAAGGGCGAAGTAATTCAAAACATGTCACAGGCAAAGTTTGTAGCTGGAATCTATGCCCCTGCAAGTAAGTCAGCTTCAGAAAAATTTTTATTATTTTTTTCGTGTGAATTTTCGATTTAAATATTCTATCAATTTTGTGTGTGTTAATTTTTGTACTGAGACGAAACGATTTCATTACAGAATATTTGTATGCATTCAAAGACAAGTTAACTGATGCTGATAGAGAAACGGAGATTGTATGTACCGCATTTATTCTGTCAAAAACGGAAATTATCACGAATGCCCATTGTGTGGCTGGCGCTCCATATGTTTATGTGGTAGCTGGTACGAAAGTTGCATCAGACGAAAATCAAAAAATCGAAATCAAAGTTGAAAAAGAGAACATTGCATGGCACCCTCATTATAGTCATTTAATTGTTGGTGCATTTGATATTGCCAAAGTTACACTGAAAACGCCGTTAAAATTCAGCGATACCGTTGGCAGTATTGAACTCGTGGACAAGGATTACAAATTGAATGACCCATCAGAAGTGGTCACTGCCTATGGATATGGCGTGTTGAACAACATCGGACCAATGATATTGAGGCGTTGCGATGCGAACTATATATCTAATGTCAATCGTGTCAGCGCATTCAACCCACGTCAAACATTGTACTTTACCACTGGCGAAGCTACGAACGATGGCGAAATTATTACACGTGGCGATTCGGGTGGACCAGTCGTTTCAAAAACAAATGGCAAAATCGTGGGCATAACTACGGGTATAAATGGGACAACAGGTGGCCGCGGAATGTTCCTCCCAATTGCATCATTCCTTGGTTTTATCCATGATCCAAAGGTATCTAATCTCAATGC